GGCCTCCCGCTGGCGCGAACGAGCCCTCGGGAGCGAGAAGCTGTTAATTCGTCCCGTTCAAGGCTGTTAATTAGTTTTTTAAGCGGGTTACGAAGTTATAGCTAAAGAAGAAAGTACAAGACACCGTGTAATAGCAAAATCCCCGAGTAAACCTTGTCTGAAGTATTTCGGGGTCTCTTTCACAAGCTACAGAAATACATTAAGTTTTTAACCTTTATTTTTCATCTAACAGGAAAACAAAAGCCCTAAACAATGTTTGAGGGAAGGACACTGTAGGAGTTTGCAAATGACATTTTTTGCATGCAAAAGATCAATGGTAAGTGTTTGTCGTGTGTTTTCTGCTGGCAGTCTGCATGCTGTCTGTCCTTTTCCCTATTTTCTGAAGAAAACCACTTTAATTCAGTAAAACTGGTGTCATTAAGCAAAACAGGTCTTGTCTTCAAATTCCATTTAAAATATGGATATTGTACACTGTTCTGAAGAAAACCAAAGTTGTAGAGTATGAAAAAGATGGAAAAATGCATATTTAAATCGAATTAGACTTACAACTTGCAATTTAGTTTCAGCAAATGCTGCACTGTAGCTTTTGTTTTAGCTTTACTGCTGGTTTTTGCCTTCCATTAAATGCTTTTTTGTAACTGTCAAGAAGAAACTTGCAGATTTTTTCAAGCTGAATATTATTTCAGTTTTTACAGATATTTTTTTCAGACGCTTGTATTTCAGTTATCCCTGTGCTCACTGACATTTACAGTGACTCCCACTTCAAACTAATCTGAATTTTTCTCCTTCAGCTTGTCAGTTAAGTTTGGAAAAACATATCTAAGTAGATTTACACTACCTTGGTTCTGTGCTTTCCTTGCCATCCCACTATGCTCTTCTGTCACTTTTGTTGTTATGCTGTTTATTTCAGAATGCACAGGATGCTTATCTCATACTTTTTGCTTATCTCACACTTTTAATTTTGTGTGAGATTTAAGGTAATACAATGTATGTTTCACTGGAAGAACCCTATGACTTGTTGGCTACATCACAATTTTTGTTTACAGTGACTTCTGCTTTATTCTCTGCTTTTTTTCTGGTGTTACAAAGTGCCAAGGTAGCACAACCACTCTAAAATACTTCTTTTGCAAAATACATGGTTTTAATATTTGGACTTCAATTTTCAGTTGGATACCAGAGCAAGATTCAGAGGAAGGAAGGGATATTGAAGTCCTCGTGAAGAGACCCAGCCACAGGAAATCAGGGTTCATCAGCACTTTAAGCAAAACAGAGACTAAAGTAAGATGGTTGTATCTGCTGCATCCTTGCATGCAGTATTTTTGTGGAAGGTATCTACTCCTGAGTATTGCCATAGATTGACCTGGATTTGCATTTAAATATTAAAAAGAGGGCAAGCATAAAACTGCAAATTCTGTCCAAAATGGGCACTTGTCGTGCAATTGCAATAAAATACGTGAAATCCAGAATAAGCTGCAGAAGTTACAATTGTGTTTTGAAGCAAAGTTGTCTTTTGTGGTTTTACTAATTCTGGTTATGTTTTACTATTACAAATAATCCGAGGCGTGGAACTGGGAGTTTCCTCGACTGGTATCCCAGAGGATACCTCAGGATGGAGCTGTTTCCAGAGATGATGAGTTGGCCAAGGTTGTGAAATGTACCTGTGAGCTGCTTCCTCTCCAGTAGATTCGTTACTCAATAAACTTGCGCTAACAGGTGGGAGTGGTGATGTTTTTGCAGTGACACATACAGAAGGATGGCATGTCTTTCCTCTTGCTACAAATTCCTTTTGATGTAATGATTGATGTACATGTTTATTAGCACAGTCTAGTCTTGTTGGACAACTAGATTAAAATTTGGTTACTCTAAATTAATGGATGTCTGTTTTATCTTTCAGTGATCTTTGTATTGAAACAAGTTCAGGAGAACGATAGCATTATTCTAGTCAATGACTTGAAAGCTGGATGCAAGGATGTAGCTAATTATATGTCTTTGGATGGGTGAGGAAGGTGTTCCTCAGGCCGACAGCTGAGGAGACCATGGCTGCTATTACTGTGTTCTAGAAGTATTTAGAGCAATACTTAAGCTCCTCTGAGATGACTCTGAATGATCTTTCTGCATTATTTTCCAAGCAAGTGTATAAATACTTATCCAAACATACATACAAACTAGGAATAATGATCTAGGCTTTATTGTGTTTATAGGAAGTTGTGTTCCACAAATGTCCTTTGTGAGCGTTTTTCTTGTTTTCACTTTGTTGCTTCTCTCTGAATTCTTTGGTTCACATTTATGGGTGTAAAATATTCAAATTGCCTTTCATATCAATTTAAATTGTAATTAATTTCCACTATGTACTTCTTAAAATTTGCTCTTCCTTTAGATCTAGGAGGTTTTTTTGTGTAGTCAAATTTTGTATAGTTTTATAAGTTATAAAACAGCTGCAGTGAAAAAGCAAAGAAATTAATAGAGGAAAATATTGTTTTGCTTTCCTTCAATCAAGGATGATGTGGCAGATCGGTCTGCAGTATGACTGTTCTTCAGGACATAAATAACACCTATCAGTTAGTGTCCCTTGCCCCACCCTGGTAAGGGGGTGTGATTTCTTGGGGTAACAAGCATTAAATAGTGCTTAAACTGTGATTAATACTTAGTGGTTCTGTTTAAGAACCTGTTTATGAAGAATAATTCTTTTTCCTTCCTTCATTGTCTCTACCTCCTTCCCTGCCTTTTGAAGCCTTCAAGAAATAAATGGTAGTGTAACTCTTGCATATGGAAACTGAAGTAACTTCAGACAAGCTTAGAAACAAGATTAAGAAATTGTGAGAGGGGAGAGAGTCATAGTAACTTATTTTCTTGGATAAAGTTTATAGCCATATGGCTGATTTACACTTAGTCTGAACAGATGCATGCAACACTTACTGTTTGTAAAATTTATGACTTCAGTGAGTGAGTGCATGTTGATTATTTGTCTGTCGTAAGCAGCTGTTCCGTGTTTATATTCCTTGTATGTGTAAGATTTTATTTTTGCAATCATAAATCAACTGATTTCACATTATCATGTTCTGTTGATCATGTGAAAACTAGTTCTTTTGTTGAAGTGCTGTAAACACCCTTTGTTTTCCACAACCTAGTTACCATATTATCTCTTTTACATATTATTAAAATGATAAATAGATGTGTTGTCTGTAAGGGTTTTCTAAACTTAGCACTCTAATTTCAAAGTATTACTCACAAGCCTTCTCCATGGGAAAAACAAAATTTAAAAATGGAATAAAAATAAATTTAAAGCTACTTGGCAGGTAATTAAAGGTCAGTTTGAAAGAACAGTGGGAATGATACGTGGTTTTGGTAGTCAAGGTCTCTTCCATGGTCTGTGCTGCCACAGGGGACTATAGGCTTGATGCTTCAGGTGATCTGTTCCTTTCTCAGCCATAATCACTGAGCCTCACCTAATGGTGCTGCAGGAACTCCGTTTGGAAAGGAACAGGCAGGTAACAGATCATAGACAGGTAACTAGTTGAAGTTATTTTTAGTAATTGGCTTGATCCAGTGGAGATCAAGTGTTAAAATTAAATGCAGTGTTTGCTATTGGACATTTAAGGATTTAATATTTAATTTAACAGAATACTTGTATTATTTGATCCCATAGAATCTCTTAGTGTCAAAACTACCTAATGGTTCACTAAGCTATTTAGGACAGTATAAAAATACATACAACATATATCTAAATACTGACCTGTTTGAGAGACTATAATTGTTCAATTCCAGTGTTGTGTAACATAATATTCTGTCTAAAAATAACTAATTATATAATTGCCTTGGGACTTTGAGCACTGTCCTACTTGAGAGCTATTAATGTTTCTGGTGTGAAAAATAATTTGTTTCATTAATGGAAAGATCTTAAGTACTATAAATTTGTGTATCTAATTCCAGCTTTTTTCCTAATACACAAAATGTTTTTATTTGAATGTATTGATATTTTTAAGTCTCATGTCTCGTGCTACACCACTGGCTTTTATTAAAAAATACATATTTCTAATCTATGGTAGATTTTGCAAGACTGAACATGTAATGTATTTGAACCTGTGAAATTGGACTGCTAAGGACAAAAGGTTGAAATGGTGCCAAAAGGCTCTTGCTGATTTTGGAGTCACAATATATGCAGTGCTAATGATTTGTAAGCACAGGAGCAGTTTGCAGAAACCTTTCACTGCTGCTCTGATGTCTCCCATTTGTTTTACATGGTGGCAGAGTCAAAGGGTGCTGCATGGTGTTGAGATTGACATGGCAGACTGTGGGCCCTCAGTGTTAGGACCTGTCTGTTGTGGCATACGTGTAGTTTCATCAATTAACATGTTCTCTCCGTGGTCCAGTCCTGCTAGGATGTTTATATTTACATAGCTGTAAACACTTTTGCAGAATTGCTCACCTGTTTGTTATGCTACAAAATAGGCCATAGTCAATTTACTCTGTTTTGAAGATTCTTTAGGTCATTAACTATGTTCTTTTTAATTAGTATGAGGTGATAAGCATATTGTTTGAGCAGAATCTGTTTAGTGAAGACCCATGTGTACATATATTGAAAAGTGAGAGAAAGAGGTTGGTGTTTAACAAGTATGCATGCATTTATTATTTAAGTTATGCCTCTTAAAAGGAAAGACAAAGCATCTTAAAAAAAAACAAACAACCCAAAACCAACCCACTTCTGAAAGCTTTTCTGCCTCCAGAATGTGTGCATTTGTATTACAAAGAGCATTATTATTTCACTGGAAGGCCAGAACAAACTAGACTGACACCTTCTGCTCATAAGAGCAACACTAAGTGAAATCATCTAAAAATGCAGCCACAGAATGTAGGTGGTAAGCAGTATCTGTTGTTTAAACCTTTGTCTGGGAAACTTAGAAATAGAGAACTGTAGCAGCTTTGTTGACATGATGAATTTCACAAGAACTCATGCTGTCTTTGCACTTGATATGTGGTCATTTAGAATATGTCTATTTATTCTAAATATATATCTCATTGTCTAAAGCTGAAGAGCACGACAGAGTTTAATTTCCATCATGAACTTCAGTTGACAGAATAGCAACCAGGAACCTTAAGATCCTTTCTGCTTTTTCTTTTTCCAAATGTGCATGCTGAATTGTTTGTCTCTGGCATGGTTTTGCTGCAGATACCTTCAGAAAGTTATTAACCAGTTATTTCTGTAAGTGGTACACTCCACGATGATTTGGTTGACGTTCTGTAAACATGGAGAGTGCCTTCTTGAAGTGGACTGTGCTTTATTTTCAGGAGGTTGATTAATAATATCCGCAAACATTGAAAGGAGAAGAAGTAACAAGGGTAGCATTTTAATAGCTGCTTAATGATGTCAGTAGCAGGTGATGTATTTCAAATAATAATGTATTTTAGTAGATGAACATTGAAATTATTTTTCTTATCAAGCTGAGGTTTGTTTGCCCTGATGAAAGCTTTCCTGTACCATATGCTGTCTTTGAGTGCAGGTACTAACAGGCTGCAGTGGAATGGAAGGGAATAATTTCTTAAAGATTTTTAGTAACAGAGGAAATGATACAAGTGAATCTCTGTGACTTAGAACAAGATATCCGAAACTGTTTTTACAATATTGCTACTACCACTTTAAAACGAGCTAGGGAAAAAATAGTGAATATAGAAATTGGTTTGTAATTTGTAAGTTCCAATGATAAACTGCTACTGTAAAGTTGTGTTGTCCTTCATGAAGTATCATGAAGCATGAGGAATATAGAATTTTTCTGTCAGTTTATAGCAGGAATTTTTAAGGCTTTTTTGGTGGGGGAAGTTTTGAAGCCTTTCTGGTACAAAGGTCGCAGAGGTCTAATATTAATTAGATGTTGCTTGTCTCAGGCTTTTGATTCTGTGTCAGCCGTACTTCTCTAATGGCTATAGCAGGGTGGTTTCTGGAAATCTGAGTGAGAAGAAATCTGTTACAGGTCATCAGATCGCTGGCATACTGAGGAACATGAGGGCAAAGAGAAACTGATTGCCAGTTGTCTAAAATTTTTCATTGCTCAATATAAAGACAGAGACCACATAAAGCCCTTCATCAGCTGAGACTGATCATCCAGCGATGTATCCCTTTCTTTCTGCTTTGTATTGGCAGTTATGGTAAGAGAGTTTAACACCCTTCATCTAGTCTGGCCTCTTGTGAAGGTTAAGGTTCTTTGCTAGAGAAAGGCAAAAACTTGAAACTTTGACTCTTGAAAAAGGCATAAAATATAATGTGTCTTCTTTTGATAGTATCTTTCAGTAGCTAGTAATCTCTCAGTTAAAAGTGCATGTCTGTCTTGTGATTGGAATTTGACTTCAGCTTCCACTTACAGAAAAAGAGGAGAGGATGGCTCTGCAAAAGAGGTCAGTAGTATCTTGTATTTTCTTACTGGGAATACATTTAAAACTATAAAAACCCACGCAATATTTTTTTGATTAAATGCATGGATTGACATCC